GCCACCGCCACCGCCACCGCCACCGCCACCAGATCATCAGATTAAACCGTAGTTTGGAGAGACTATTCATGAATCAACTCGTTACTTACAACTAATACTTTTTTTCTCATCCTTCTGGGAAATATTTTTGAGAAATCTTATAGATGCAATGCACACTTGTGATTTTGGTGGCTGCCGATTTAAAGCTGGGGCCCTTTCAGATACCTTAACTATCAAGTTGGAATTTGCTCTTCTGGCTAAAAATACTTTCAATATCTTGTTCCTTGTACTTAGTAGAGTCGTAATGAACTACTTCGGTTGAATATACCACAGAGTCTTACGCATTATATGGCTGTTAGAAGGATCTCGCTCGTCCCCAGCCCTCCCTGTTCCGCTCTCCCTCGACCCGCTCACCGGCAGAGGTGGCTCAGGGCATCTTCTGATGTCACTGCACTCCCTCTGACTGGGAAGTCCTAGGTTCAAGTTCTAAGAGTGACAGGATTTTTGACACCACCTTGTCAGCTAGGTCGAATTCACTCGCTGTCTGGAGGAAAATTCTAGCGGCCGGCTGTGCTGATCGGTAGTTTGCCGTGGTTTCTCCGATCAACAGCAGGCGAATGCCGGAACAGTACCCTAACAAACGGGCCATGGTTCGCTCGCGATCTTTCCTTCCTCTTCCTTGTCCTACCCTCACCCCTTACACACACACTAACGTGCACTACACTACCACACATGCCAGGAAACAGGTCGAGAGCTCAGAGCTTCTCCTGGCTGGGGTGGTGCCCAGCTGGTAGGAGATACCTGGTTGGGGAACACCCCGCTAGTGACGGTAGGTTGGCGCTGGATCTCGCCATCCAGCAGGGGAAGATCACCGCCACCTCCCGAGGGGAAACATGCATTACACGTACGGGACTAATGACCTTATCAGTTGATGCGCCCGGAATCACTAACAATGAAACAATCGACCCGGACGTTGTGAACGGCTCCGCTCCAACCCGCCCCTAAATAGTTCGACCCGACCCGACCCGACCCGACCCGACCCGACCCGATTCGTTCCGATCCGATGCGAAGCCGCCTTTTCCTCTCGTGAGCCGCACTACCTTCCACGACCGCCCCTTCCCTCTCGTGCAGCACTTTCTTGCTCGTTGTGCACTAGCGGGCTCCGCTCCGCTGTTTTTACTCTCCACTCCCCTCGTTACTGCAATGACCCAATTGCAATCTTTGTATTAAGCTAAATGCGCCCTAAAGGCAGAAAATCATCCCACGATATGCTGTATTATTTATTACAAAGAAAAATATCTACTTCGCGGAAATTTGCTTTTATCCATTGTTTATTGTTTTATACTCATATAATAACTCACTGAACAATACATCTCCCTATCTTCTTTCTTTTTTTATATTTCTCTTTTGTCTTCGTTTCACGCGCTTATTACTCATTTCTTCATTCTTTAGCGGTTACTCACTAATTCTCGTTCATTTATCTGATATTTTTTATTGATTTACCCTCTGTTCATGAACACGGACGTACATTTATCTTTCTATTTTATTCAATTGTTCCTTTTTCTCTTACACATACATTTCAAATTCAAATGTGTGTATTCCACCATAACAGGAGCATTTTGAGTCTCCTTATATCGCAATATGACGTAAATATTGATGTTTCTGTGAAAAAGCTATTAATGGTAAAAGAGAAATGTTCTGTAATTTAAAGTATTTTTTTCTGTTATTTCATTACATACGTCATCTCCAGTATACTAGATAATGTAAACTGAACTTTCACAATTAAAACATTGAGATTGGTAGGTAGTGTCTAGTGATTTTGAGTTTTTAACTTTTAAAATGTTATCAACCCCTCTAAATGTCATAAGTGAGAGAAATATACTTTAGTGTAATACTGAATTACTACATCGTCTCGACGCATCAAAACACGGAAACGAAAGCCACGATCGATGGCTTGAAGTATTTAAGATATCACCGCCCGTTATGGACTATTAAACAAATGAGTGTAGCCAAATATAGCGTATGAATACACCTACTCTAAGAAATTGAGTTTCTTTTTAATATGATTGTGTCTTGTAAGAAGATCTATTGCAAAAACTATGGACTGACACAGCCGCGTCAAAAATACCAGACACGTTTGATGTAAGTTATCCGAAGTTTGTGTTGGATAGTGTGAAAGAGTTTAAGAAAATGGATGCAGGTCTCTAACTCGTTGAAAACCCTCATGTTTCGAAAATTGCATAAGTTCATTTCTTTTTTTGAAGTCTCGAGATATTTTTTTCTTAACGAAGGTACTTTTAACATAATTTTATGCGACAGTACTGGCGAGTAAGAAAGTGCTGTTTTAGCACTTGTTTTATCACAATTGGCTGAAACGTGCTGGCAAGCCTGATCCCAGTGCGCGGTGGGCCGAGGGGCGCTGGGAATACGCAAAGTCTCGAGTGGCCCATTCGGCTCAGCGGCGCGCAACAGGTGACGGCGGAGCCGCGCTACCTGCCGCCGCCCCC